GACAAGTGTATACCTGTACTTGTACTGTACTGTATATCGTAATATTGTGAAATGTCTCTCATATCTCAAAATTTTACCAAATATTACAAAATATGTAACATAACGCATGCATGCATGCATGCACGCACGCATGAGCACACACACACACACAAACACACATAATAGAATCCCTTTTATCCGGCACCTATGGGAATTGAGAGGCGCCAGTGAGTTGAAAATCATGCTTAGGATCCTTTAATCAATCCTACAATGCAGGCTGACCTCACAATTTTGTGTCCCAGTAAAATGGACTTCTTTAAAACTTATTCCGCTCTATATAAATAATGTGGCTTAGAAATAAAGAAAGTATAATATAAAACAATTAAATAAGAAAAATGAAGAGCATGGGTGTGTATGTGCAAAACGTGAACGTGTGTGGAGACGGTGGGCAATAACTAAGTATCCAACTCGCCAGCTTAGCCGCCCCGATTAGTGTTATCTGTAATGAAACTAAAAAAAGGTGTCAAAAAATCATTACAATACTCTAACATGGATTAAAAATAAAGAAAATATAATATAAAACAAGAAAAATAAAGAGCATGGATGTGTATGTGAGAGAAGTGAATGTGTGTGGAGGCGGTTATAGCCAAGACCTACATTGCTGACTTGCCAGTCAAGCCATCTAGTATATTGTTACTTGTAATAAAACTAAAAAGATTGCACTGTAGAAAAGTAATTACAATACAATATCCTAACGTGGCTTGGAAATTAAGAAAATATAATACTGTATAAAATTATAAAATAAGAAAAATGAAGAACATCGGTGTGTACAGTACATGTGAGAAGTGAATGTGTGTGGGGGTGAAGGGTTAATGGGCTATAACTACGTGAATGTGCTCCTTCCCGATGTGACGTCACACGGTATACACACACAGCCGCCACATATTTGTGAGTCAGCTGGCTGACTGCTTGAACTGTGTCGCGTCACCCAGAGGATGGTTTGAGTATGGAAGGAGCTATTTTTTGTACATAAAATATGTGATACAGTATTTTATGATGTGCTATGTACTGTATCGCTTTCATTGTTTATCATAGCAATACATATGGAAGATTACCCGCCTTTGAGCAGGATATTCAAATTTGTGATTCTGGCTGATTTTGGAGGAATTATTATTTTTATTATTATTTAATTTTGGTGCTGGTTAGTTGGATAACTGGGATTCTACTGTACAACTAGCTACAGCAGTGAGATACAGTACAGTATTCCACTTGTACAACAATTCTTTACCTTAAATGTTTTACTGAGCCCTTCCATTATAGTCTGAATCTAGTGAATTCCACAATTCCATGGTTTCACTGAAATTTGATCTTATAACATTTTCAACAAAACACCATAACTGGGAGACTGAGTTTGAAATCCCTGTTTGTGATACAGACCATAGTCTGGTATATAATCACCTGGGATCATGATAATTCATGGGTTAAGTATCTGAAAAGATCATGAATTATCATCAGTACTCACAACCTCACCAGAGATATGCTGCTGTGCAAGTTAGTACAGCACTTGAACTTCTTGAAACACCATTGATGATTCCTTGCATTCATTGTTCCTGGAGATATGTGAAGCTAAGGTAATTCTAGCCTTTTCCAAGATGATCAGCTGGTATGTGATGCTATATCTTACCTTAAATCCACATACTCTAACTGTTTTTCCGTTTTCTCGAGTAAAATTTTCCTCAAATGTGTCTTGATAGCAGTTTATGAAGTCGTTGATAAAGCAGAAAGCTTTGTCTCGTCCTTGTGTTTTAAGCTCTGACCAATATCACCCTGATGCCCACCTGCCTCCACATGCCTTATCACTCTTTACTTTTATCCAGTGATCGGCTTGTTAGCCGCTTGGGCGGTCGGTTACGTCTCTGTTATGCACTGTTGGCAAGTACTGGCCTCCTGAATGTATCTGAACCCGCTCCAGTGTTGGTCAAGTCTGGTCTTGAAATAGCTCACACACGGTGCCGTCATCACACTCTCTGACAGATTGTTTCAAGAGTTCACAATTCTCACTCCGAAAAAGTTACCCCTCACAGTTAGCTGGACTTGCGGCTTCTTTAACCTTGAACTGTGTCCCCTTGTGGGGCGAGTGTCCGGCAGCTCCAGGTAAGGACACTCGACTGAGTAGTGTCCTCTGGGATGCTTGTGCACCTCAATCCGATCCCCCCTTGCCTGTCTGTAGTATAAGCTAGGCAAGTTCAGGCGCTCCAATCTCTCCGTGTAGCTGAGGTGCCGTAGTGCAGGCACCAGTTTGGTGGCCCTCCTTTGGACATTTTCAATCAACTGACAGTCCCTAGCATATCTCGGGGACCAGACGGGATGACAGTACTTCAGGCGGGGAAACACTTCACTCTTGAAGATCGTTACGAGGGACGGACCGTCTAGATATCTGAACGACCTTCTTATAAGAAATAATAACTTAGTTGCCTGGTTTACCTTCTCGCAATGGCCCGAGAACTTCAGCTCATTGTCAACATACACACCAAGGTCCTTTTCACATTCCGGCTCATTTAATTCAGTTTTTTCATCCCGTTGGAACATATGATACGCCTCCTTACCGTTGGTAAGTCCCAGGTGCATCCTCTTACACTTCATGACATTGAATCTCAGCAGCCATTTCTTCGACCATTCTTGAAACTCACAGGGATCACAATTTTATATCCATGATGATGTTTATCCTTGAGTGCTTGACCACAGCACCAGCACTTACCGGCTATTTTTTAGATATTATGGGTTCCATGTTTTCACAAAAAGTGGAAAAACAAAACAAAAAAACAGTCTTGATAATTCACAAATTACCAATTTGCATACTCATGGCAAGAATTTCGACCATGCCACTGTGCAGCAAACTCAAAAGCGCTCTTCCGCTCCTCCAATCGTCGGATCGACGAGGTAGTCGGCAAAACTTGCAGGATATTTCCCCAACATGTAATCATTGGTTATGCAAAGCAGCGGTTAAAGGGACGTTAGTTTATGGGGTATACCTGTACAGTAAAGTATCTGTCAACCTAAACTCTACATTATGAAAGATTTGAGCATTCTAAAAATTAAATTTAAGAACACCTGTATAGAAAAATATCTTTTATATAATTTTCTACATATCCAGTATTACAATGAGAAATTGAACACTCACATACCCTGTGTGTGTGTGTGTGTAATGAGTCTACTTGTTTTCACTTGAGTTTGAGGAATGAGATACACTATATAGTATAGTAATTGTAGGAGAATAATAAAATAATGAGGATGGCCAGCCTAAAGGACACCTAGGAATGAATTTATTTAAGGTGTAGAAGCTGTCGTCAAAACAACATCCACACCCTGAGTTAACAAGCTGCATGACCCAGTGTCAAGGAATAGTCTGAGAAGACCGGACAACTCGTCAACTGCACTAGCTAACCATTACCACGGAACACAATCCGCAAATCGATTAACATCCAGGTTCCCAATTACTGCTGGGTAGACAGAGGCAAACGGCATAAAGCAACTTGCCCATAGTTTCACCCTGCCCGGGTATCTAACCCGGGTCCGCTCGCTTGCGACGCAAGCATGCTGACCATTACACCACAGGTCGCTTATTTGTAGACTTAATAACATTGAAAGGGTTAGTGAACAATGATGGAAGTTAGTGTTCGGGTATTTACAGAAACTAATAATATAACCAACCTGACACAGGTGCTATGGTTTGTAATGGTACTGTACTGTACATGTTTTACTTGAACATATGCTCATGATAATGTAGTATCCACTTTATGTAATTATCCATTTTATGGAAGTCTCTTAGTCCAAAACTTTTTGGTTGACAGATACTTCTGTAATGAACTTTATTGTGCTGTACATATAATAATATCAACAAGAACTGTGATAATTCTGCCCAACAATTCCTGCTGTGTTATAAAAGATCTGGATACTTCAGCTTTCTTAAAGTAAAATAAGCTTTCACAGGTTGGTTTAACACATCTGCTCTTAATGAGTCAGCTAATAACTGAACTTCAAAATGGTGGACTGACCTGGAAAACCAAGATTACTAAGTCTGGCTTCTGCAGAAAATGTGCTGATTGGACAGACACAACTTTGACAGACTCCTGTCTCCAGAGGACAACTGTTGCACCTAACTTCTTTTGGGGGCAATGGGTGTGATGAGGAGCAAATGTTGAATAGTTTACCCAAAAAGGGAAAAAAGAACAACCTTGGGTAACATAGTGGGGGCTATTGGAGGCCTTGGGATTCCCAAGGGCATAAGCTATATATTTTTTCTAATAAAGTATCTTTACGTGCATATTATAATAGGCTTGTCATGGTTTACAGTCTCAAATATGCAACTTCTACCTACAATGGAGTAGAAGCTGAAAATTAAATTTTTATCAAAGTGCTTAGAATATCAATCTCCTTACCAAAAGGACCAACAAAATTTATGATACCCTACCATGAGATTGAAATGCACTTTAGAATATTGTATATTGTAGTTAAAGAAAATATATTAATTTGATCACCAGAATATCATAATTCATGCAACTGTGATACAGGGTTAAATATCAATATCATCTAATACCTAATTTTGCTAAAGCATTTAAATGCCATTTTATGTTCACTGAGACTCTACTATAGAAGACTAATCATTATCTTTCTATAAAAAGCTACAACACCACAGCAAACACAGAGCAGATATAATCTAAAGAATATGGTTGTAAATTACAAACAATCTTCTGATGGAGAAACAATGCATATATGATACCATCATGTGTGGGTTGTAATAGGAGACAGATTAATGTACAGTATTAATAGGCATATAACCACATATTACAAACGAAGTGTTAGAATAAAAAGCACATGTAATTACTGTAAATCTAATATTTCAATAAAGTATAGGCAAAGAATCCTCAAAGAACAAGCAACATGACAGCACCATATTCCCCCAGCAGAAAAATTGCACATTTCTGAGACACTTGACATATATATAGGAGGATCTTACTCACATCCAGTCACTGACTCGTCAATCCACTCTGTTCGCTCTGAAACACAGCACAATAACTGATCACAACAAAGTCTGCATAATCATACACTTGTGTTCCTTTGGACAGGTGACCTGATCCCATATTTCAGATCAAAGCACTGATGTAACTATTGAAAAAAAGTATATATGAATTTACATTATAAATCTGGAATGAAATTAGTGTTAATTTGAAGGAATTTTTTTTCCTGAAATTCCCTTTTATGGCAGAGTTCATAACCAAGCAATTTGTCATAATACAAGCTGCCAACTGGAGCAATCAGTGTCTTAAGACAGCCGTAAATTATTAAGTAAGGATTGACATCTAAAATTAGGTGGATATACCAATCATCCATCCCTTCCCATCAAACACATTGGGCCCAAATGGGGTAGGTCAGATGTAAGTGTTGTCTTCTGGAGACAGAGGATCCTTTAATAGTTATTTATGATCACTCATCAAACTTTGCACCAAAAGCTATGGCTCCACTATCTTGCTTAAGTCAATCTACCAACTTTGACTTAATTCCTGAGCACCTACTCTATGTACAAAACAAAAAAGAGAGAGAAAGAGAGAAGGGAATGTGTCCAAGCCTCCTATTTGTGGGTTCTACCAGAAAAAAAGATTTTGTGATCAATCCTACATTTCTGGTTTCTACGTTTCACTAGGTGGCTTCTCATAATCCAAAGCCAGGTAAGCAAGAGGGAAGAGGAGGTGCTCCTTTAAGCTCCAGATATACTGTACTCCCTATAGGAGAGTTAACCTTTTCCTTTACAGTATTTTCCATGTGCAAAGGTCAAAGCATGCAATATATTCCAAACTCTCCCTTCCTGAAGTCATTGATGCTATCTTTGTTCCTCAAGTTATAGTGTGACTAATCACAGTCCCAAGTACTGTACTGTATCTGATCACGAAGATCCTTTCAGGGAAAAGTCACAGAAAAATCACCTCTGATGAGTGAATCATGTATGTACCACATAGGCAGAGTTGTAAAGTAACAAAATCAATTTTGTTTTACTTCTTTTATTTCTTACTTAAGTGTGGTTTTTAAATACTTTTATTCCAATACAATTGAAAAAACAAAAATCGTTACTCATTACATGCCTCAAGCAAAGAAACAAACAAAGAGTTTTAATGTATGTGGCAAACTAATAATATATTTTTAATTAATTAATTAATTATTAACCATAGTAAAAAGAGTTGTGTGGGTGGAGGGTATGATGTGGGTGGAGCCATGAAGGGTACAGTGTGGGGAGACACCATGCGGTCACATACCTAGATGTCTCGTGAAGTGGCCATGACAGTGGATTTTCCCTTTGATCGTCTTGTGTCCATTAACACTTTGACCACCCACCTCACCTCTTATCCCCCTCCCTCACTGAGTCCTCTCTTTTCTCCCCCCACCTTTCCTTTGGGGGCTTGGTTTTCTCATTAGAAGTCAGTTGCTCTTATCATATACCTGTACTACCTAAAATGAATTTCAAAGAGGCTGTGATTCTAAAATGCTTTACATAATTCTGTCTTAGATATAAAACCTGTATATATATATATATATATATATATATATATATATATATATATATATATATATATATATATATATATATATATATATATATATATATATATATATATATATATATATATATATATATACACACACACATATATACATATATATACACATATATATATATGTGTGAGACTGAGTGTATATAAAATTCTGCTTAAATAACTCAGTACCACTGCCCCCCCACCAGCACCCACCAGATGTTACTCATCAATTAGAACTGTCCCCATTAGAGGGACAGTTCACAGTGGGTCTTTTTAGTCAGACTCAGTCACTATGGAGGCAACAATCATCCACAAACTCCTCAACTGAAGGAGGTTGATAGCTAATTGGCATGCCCAGGATCTTTCCCGACATTATGTGACTTATCTGTCAAGCTTAACACCCCACTACCTGCATCTGCTGCTTGTGAGCATCTGTTTAGTCACATTGGGCATATTATTTATTATTAACTGATTTATTACACCGGATGGGGGGGGGGGGTAATCACAAGACCATATGGTTAGACACTAACACATTGGTGCCCGTGTCTCACAGTACACGCTATGACTTGTGATATGGAGACAATGTTGATACTTCCCACAGCATGGGTAGAGTACACGAATTAAATCTAAATTCTTACGAATAAATAGGTGATGACATATAGTAGTTAGTTACTCTCCCTGTGGTAGGAGGTCCTCGACTGTGGGAAAGTTAAGGCAATACAGTAATACCCCGATTTACGCGGTTTCGCTTTACGCGATTCTACATTTACGCGGTACCTAGCCAGAACCGGAACTTCATTTTACGCGGTGCATCTACTCATATACACGGGTGAAGTATAATTTTTTATTTAGCTCACAAAATTTATACAAATTACCAAGCCAGAATATAATTTACATTGCTGGAATTCTTACAACATGATGATCATTTTGAATATAAACATCAAGGGAGAGGAGGAAGCAACCATTGGGGGGAGAAACTAACTGTGAAGACCACCCAAAAGGGTCATATCCCATCCAGTGGTATCACTTTACTCCTACCTCCCTCTCTCATGAAGCACTATTGGTTATTTGTTATTCATTAATTGGTAAAGATACGTTACTGTTAATACCTGTACCCTTCATATACAATACTGTATACCTTTGTACTGTAAATCTTATTTAGAGCAGATGTTGTGAATAAAAGTTTATACACATTTTTTGCTAGCCATAAATATATTTGTTGCTTAGCTTTCACTTTTATTCAAGGCATTTTCAGGTCATGAGGCCCATTATTCCCCCACCCTGGCACTGGGTGACCTGACATTGTATGAGATCACTAATCCCCCACCTCACCTCAACCTGACATACATTGATCAGGTCAGGTCAGTAACATAAGACCAAACTAATCCCCTACCACACCTCCATCACAACATTTCTTAAATTTTTTCATAAGAGAATTGAGTCCCCATCAATATTCTCATATTTTTGTTTCTTTGAATTGAGCAGTGCAACTTTGAAATGTCTGGGAAGGCCAAGGCACGCAGGAAAAACCATGTCTCTGAAGGTGGAGCTTGACATTGTGAAGAGGCATAAAACTCCCCAGAGGCTGTGTGGGAGTCAGAGTGACATCTCCACTCCACCTACAAGAGTACCCATAGCCTTGAAGGGGACATGTGATGACGAACAGACTTGTTCTCAATGATGTGGTGAGTGTTGTTTAATTATGTTGTAGTGCTAGTAGTACAGTATTCTAGGCTTATTTTTTGGGGTGATACATTTGGGTGTCTGACTCGCCATGAACCTATCCCATTAAACCCCCATGTTATAATGAACCTGATTTATGATATGTGACCTGCGATGGGTTTTCAGGAACCTAATTCTGTCGCAAATAGAAGTTTACCTGTATTCCTGTATTACAACATTGCTTACACTTTTTCTGCTGTAAGTCAGTATCCTGTTAATCTATTACGGATACATTTTGAGGAACCACCGGGACATTTCCTGCCTGAATATTCAAAAAGTAGTTTAAGTTTGATGTTTCGAATGTTTAAAGTGTGAAGGGAAAGAGTTTAAAAATTCTAGTATTACTGTATATTTTTAATTTGGTTTTCTTGTTTCCCCATACAGGTGTCCCTTCCTACATGAATGTTCTAGATACTAAACTTTGCTTACAGGGGGTCCCAGGGTTACGAATGGGTTCCGTTCCTGAGGTCATCCGTAAGTCGGAAATATACGTAATTCGGAACACATACCCTATGTGCACTATATCATAGCCCAAGTCCTTTTATATATCTCAAATCACTTAATTTAAAAGAAAATAAGAAATTGAATGATAAAATACAGTTAAGAAAAGTAAAAATTAAAGTTTAACACTTACATTGAAACATGGGGCTGCCTTGCATGTTGAGATGGGCATTTGTAGGAGTGACAGTGACTATTGGGATGAAACTGAAGATAGTGATGATGATGTAGATGTTAACAGGACTGGTTCTGGAGAATTTGCTGAGGTAGAATTATCTGGTTCTGGAGTTGCTGTAGATGCTGCAGAGGTTGATGGGACTGGTTTTGGCTGCCTTTCGACTTTCTTAAAAAAAACTTTGTGGTATCTAGACATTTAGTAACACCTCTATGAACCTTGCTGTTTATATTTAAACAATCCTTCTTCAATGAGCCTAAAACCTTCTGCCATTTCTTTTGTAATGAATTGCTTTGGTTATGGAGTTTCAGCGTCCTCTACATCCTCTGACAAAATTTGCTCCTCCATGTCAGTCACGTCCTCATTGCTTAATTCTTGGGCATGAGACTCAAACAACTCTGTGACATCATCCTCATGAATATCAAGCTGGCGTTGGTTTCCAAGGTCTACCACTGTTTGTGTCACTTCCCCAACATCATCTTCAAAGCCCCTGAAATCATGGACAAACTGTGGGCAGAGCTTTTTCCAAACATCATTCACGTAGGTTTCTTTTCCCTCAGCCCATGAATCTGCAATGTTTTTCACAGCCTCCAAAATGCTGTATGACTTCCAAAATTCCTTTAAAGTCCTACCCTCTTTCCGTTCTGTTGCCCTGATGGCTTGAGCAAATGTCCTTCTCAGGCAATATGCTTTAAATGAAGCAATAACTCCCTAGTCCATTGGTTGTAAAACAGATGTTGTGTTTTACCTTAATGTTTGGATGGACATCATCGAAAAAAGCTGGATGGCCAGATGCATTGTCAAGAACCACGAGAATTTTAAAGACATTGACTTTGAAATGCAATACCACTCCACTTCAGGCACAAAATGATTAAGGTACCATTCTTCAAAAAGGGCAATTGTCACCCAAGCCTTCTTATTAGCTTTCCAGATAACTGGAAGTACTGCCTTGAAAACACCCTTCAAAGCTCTAGGATTTTCTGACTGGTAGACAAGCAAAGGTTTTAGTTTGTATTCCCCAGCAGCACTGCCCCACAGCAGTAAGACCAGCCTCTCCTTGGAAGCTTTATACCCTGTTGCTATTTTTTCATATGCACTTGCTGCTTCACCTTACACTTTAATGTTACGTAAGTTTGCCCCTGCCTTGAACCGGTTAAGCCAGCCCCTACTAGCAACAAAATCTTCCCCATCACTTTCACCACCACACTTAGCCTTCAAGTCAGCGTGCAAGCTTCTCACTTTTTCATGAATCTAGGCTAGACTTAGGGGCAGATGCTGTTGATTTTGATCTTCCACCCATTTTATTAACAATCTTTCCATTTCAATTAACAATCCAGTTCTTTGTATAGTTATCACAGTTGACTGCATTGGTGTAGATCCTTTAACATGTTCAAGAATTATCTCTCTCTCTTTCAAAATTGTTCAAACCGTTGAGCGACTGAAGCCCAAAGCCTTACCGATCACTGACGGTGTTTCGTCTTTTTCAGAACGTTTAAGTATTTCAGATTTCACTTCCATCGTAATTGCTTTCCTTTTCTTGGATGCATTACTATCACTTGCATCAGGTTTGGGAGCCATAATGAGGGCCGAAAAAGAGAGTTAATAAGAAAAAATAACAGTTTGCACTTGATCACGCATGTTAAGGCAGTGAGGGTAAAACGCACTCACGCTCCCTCAAGGCGTGTGGCTGGGTGATGCATCACTCCCCACACACCGCTTCGCCTCCCCTTTACACTGCGCAAACTAGTTCTAGTATGTAACGGCTAAGAACCATTGTACTTATGTCGGATTTAAAAAATAATTGACCTTATGGGACCTCGTTCGTATCGGTGGCTGTTAGTAAGTCGGATATTCGTAAATCGGGGACCCCCTGTATATGAATACAAATACATGATCTTAAATTTGTGAGTACAGTACCTCTGTTACTAACACTTTTTTAAATGTTGCTGTTAAATATTCGTAGGTCACAGCCGAGCAGTGGCTCCCTGTGTTTATTTATATAAGAAACCATAAAAGTTGTGGAAATATCATTCCAATGCTTTAGTGTGACTTAGAAATAAAGAAAATAAAACGCGGAAAGTGAATTCAGTGTGCAAGAGAAGGGAGGTAAGGGAGGTGGCTGGACAGAGTGGAAAATTCCCTCCCTCCGTTCCTGGAGTGCCCTTCACCCCTCAACCCCTTTAACATGTTTGTACCATATGCAATTTCACCATAATTCTCATGTTATTTAGGTTCATTTAGTTCTGGGTTATTAAAACATTATTGTAAAATAATAAATTAACTTGAAATTCGTATAAGCGAATTTTCGTATCTTGAACGTTCGTATTGTGAGGGATACCTGTATGTACGACAAATTGCCTTTTTGAAGCATGTAAGCAAGCTACGGGAGAGCCAGTCTGATTTGTCCACTCTCAATGATGTGTGTATAGGAACTAAATAAAATAAGAAGATTAAAGAGCCATAGCTTTTTCCCCAAATTGTGTTGGTTGATCAGGAACAGACAGTACTAAAATACTTTCTGTTTCTATACCACAACTGTTGCCCCTGATTTATATTTGGTGCTGATGGGTATCATGGGACATGAAAAGTACTGCATTAGGTTTTAAAGTATCAACCATAACTAAGTTATTGGCGACTACCTGAGGAGACAGAATGACCCAAATTAACACTGTTTATGTCAGAAAGCTGCTTGACAAAGGGCAAAAGCCAATACTGAATATATATATATATATATATATATATATATATATATATATATATATATATATATATATATATATATATATATATATATATATATATATATATATATATATATATATATATATATATATATATATATATATATATATATATATATATATATATATATATATATATATATATATCTTGATAAAATCACACGGGGAAAGGGAAACAACGGAGCACCTTAGCTTTCGTCTTTATTCAAGACATCTTCAGAGGCAACTGGATTACATGGACATGTTTCCCTTTCCCCGTGTGATTTTATCAAGATTTAACTTATCCACTTTTTCATTGTGGATCTACATGAAATATATATATATACAGTGGTCCCCCGATTCACGCGGTCAATTGAACCCGCGGAGTAGCGTGTAAAACAAGAAACGCGTAAATGGAATAACAGAACATATGGGATTAATTGAAATAGAGACCGGGCCGACTCCCAAACTCCACTTTTTCCGACACAATACCTACGTTGTAGTAAAAATAACATCTTAATTTTATGATGGTATGCAGACACAATTAATATTTAAGAGAAATACAGTCGCCAGGTTAATGTCCATTCAAATAATGGACTCAACTCTCCCCCTCTTCCCACATTCGCTGGCTCCTCCCTCTCTGAGAAATGTCTGGGTGAAAACACTAGATTTTAAGGTATAGTAATAAATAATACCTCAGACTAAAGTTAGGATAATATAATTGACATTGCTGGATTCCTTGCAAGGCCAGGAATATTTTGAATATAAACGTCATATATTTTGCACAAAAGATAAAATTTTGGCTCTTTGTAATAAAATTCTTACATTAGATCTAAAATTTGTATGTCTAATGCAAATTCCATGATGTTTATATTTAAAATAATCACAATCTTATAAGAATTCCAGCAATGTAAATTATATTCTGGCTGGGTAATTTGTATGAATTTTATGAGCTAAAACAAATATCTTCAGTAAATAAACAAATTATACTTCACCTGCATAAATGAGTAAATTCACCGCGTAAATCGGGCAACCCGGTTCTGGCAAGGTACAGCGTAAATGACCAAACGCGTAAACGACGAGAACCACGGAAATCGAGGTTCAACTGTGTGTATATATATATATATATATATATATATATATATATATATATACACACACAGTGGTCCCTCGGTTAACGAACACAATTCGTTCCACAGAGTTGTTCGTTAACCGAATCCATTGTTACAATGGGATATTGGGTAATTGGTTCCAGCTCACAGAAAAGTACACACAAAGTAAAAAAAAATGCAGTAAAGTACACTTACTTTGAGGTGTGTATGTAGAAGGCCCTGGTTGATGATGATGATGATGGGAATTAGAAGTGGGGGTGGAGGAGGAGAAGGGAGAAGAGAAGGAAGTGGGGATGGAGGAGAAATCACCTTTCAGGGGACCCATGCTTTGATGCAGTAATTTCACCAATAAAATTTTAAGTTCACTAGGTGTAATTCAAGATTATTTTATTTATATCAACACTGCACTGTGCTATATATTATCAATATGTTAACTAAATTTCAAAATGACCAATAATTTTAATGTAAAAATACAAAAATATTCAAGACACCAACAAAATCGATGTTCACTCCACTGTCAACAAAGCCAAACTGACGCCTGGTGGCTGAGTCAAGCGGCTGATGGGTGCACAAAAAACTAGTTCCCTGTACTGCATATATTATCAATATGTTAACTAAATGTTAAAATTACTAATAATTGTAATATAAAAAATGCAAAAATATTAAAGAGCACAACTTTCTTGAAAATTATTCCACTGGAAACGAATGTAAACATAGAACAGATTACTGAATTGGCAGACTAGCCCATCAGCTGATGCTCACAACAAGATTTGTTGTTTGTAAGGATTTCGTTATTCGAAGTTTTGTTCGTTAACCAAATTGAAGATCCTTATGGGAGGTAATTTGTTAACCGAAATTTCATTAATCGAACCGTTCGTTAACCGAGGGACCACTGTATATATATAAAATGCATTACCTTATGAGAAAAAAATATTCCTTATGTAACAAAAAAAATCAATGTACTGTACTGTATTGTATTTAATTTTCAATGTATAAAATTTTTCATTTTATACAGAATTTCTCTTCATTCCCCAAGTAACTTTCACATTGTACCTTCCTTTCTGCGCACATTCTTTCTGTTACCTATCCATAGAAAAGACTTAGCTCACTTCTTAAAAGATCTAACAATAATGCAAAAAGAACTTCTTTCAACAAATTCTAAAACTGTTTATAAAAATATTCCAACAAGACCTTACTCTGAAACACAGTATAACATCTCTTCTGTTTGCTGATAACTCTTAAAGTGTTGGATGTCCTCAGAAAAAAAGAAGTGAATTTACATCCCCTCTACTTGACCAAATACAGAAACTTATCACTTCACTGAGGATAATGCTAAGCCTTCAGAATTCATTTGATGTTGCCTTGTACCATCTACTCTTAACTAAAAGCAAAATTTGCTTAATTAAATAAAAAGGAAATTCTTAATACTGTATAGATAAAGTACAATTTGTTCAGCTTTACACTAACGCTGTTCTGCCATGTAGTCTTAGGATATAAGATATTATGGTGCAGTACAGTATAGGAAAGAAAATTAAAAAGCAGACCTACTGATGTTCCTAATTGTAAGGCCTTTCTTCTGTAAAGGCTAATGGAAGGCAGAGTGTACTAATATATTCAAAAGCATATTCAGAAAATGGACAGAACACAAACAGTGCTGACAGCTTAGAACAAGGTTAAACTAAATGTCATATAAAGTTTATAACAGAAAAACTGAAAAACATTAACCATGCTCAACAAACACAAAAAAATCTCAGAATATAACAACTTTGGTGAGAAAAGCACAACTTTTATTTTACCTTGTCCACCAGGGTACATGCATCGGAAGATTCGGCCAAACTCTTCAGCTTGAATACGTCCTGCTGGGGTTAGCTCTCCTCCCCACTTGAGGATGAGAACCAAAGATGGTTCCCTCGGAGAATCACCTAAGCAACACAGCAGTAATTAGCCAATCTTTCAGTCATTACATAAGCAATCAAAATGTATACTGTACTACATAAATCTTTTACATATTATATGAAATATTATATGAAATATTATAACAATACTGTATATTACAGTAGTACACTATGTATGGAAAATTGAAACTACTGTACAGTACAGTAAAAAACTTCTGGAAAAAGACTATGGAGTGATGAAAATAACAAAAAAGTAGGAAAAAGGTCTACATCTAGCAAAAGAATCCATAAATTAGGGAGAATAGTCTGCAATGGCTAAAGACGAGGATGGAAATTATCTCAATTAATCAATTTCTAATGCAATACTTGAAATATTCAAGCACAGTGGAATGTGGGGGATCTCTCAAAAAGATATATGGTTATCATACTTAGGTAAACATACAGCAAACTTGCTACAGAAGCAGTGTGATACAGGTATCCACTGTATAAGAAGGGATTGTGTTCCACAAAATCCATTTAAGAAAAAATAAATAAATGCATATCAAATGGTGAAACCCATGTTTGATTATGGGTTATATTCCCGGGAGGAAAATGTTGGTCAACTGGGGGTTTTCCACACAAAGTTCCCCAATTTATGTCCTGTAAAGATAATAGTATAGAATAAATACAATGAACATTATAGGGTACAAGTACAGTAGACTAGAAATGTGTCTACACACACTGGTGGCCATCTTAACAGTGTGGCATCTAAAAGTTTTCATAAGAGAAAAGAAAAAAAAAATAAATTGTGATTACCGTATTATTTGTTAAAGCAATTTACATTTCTAAAAAGAAAAAAGGGGTGTCAAAATATGATCTTTATGCTTGCTTATGTATAAAGAAATTGTTAAATTGTGACTATTTTCACACGCATACATATAAAGAGGGGAGTGTCTGTACTTGTAACTATATACCCGTACTTTTTTGGGGGGCATATATCTAGGCGTCATAAGAAGATAGTTACCAGTGATTGTAATCATCCTATACTTTATAGGATAAGTTGAAGCATGGTGACAAATTAATAGTCTTTCAGAAACCACACAGAGTTCTCATACTTACCGTAGTCATTCATTGAAAACTCATTATAAATTATTAAAATATTTACCAGGATGTATTAAAATTGATCTAGTTATCATAAAAGTAAAGCAGTTAGTTTTTGTTTCTACTAAAACATAAAATATCCGTGTGCAGTACAGTACTGTAAAGTACAGGGTGTAAGATATGTAAAAAGACAAGACTTATCAGTACAAGTAAGTTATAATAACAAGAAAATGGATTTAAACACACTTATAAAAACTACCCACTAATTCAAGCAACCCTTGTTCGTTTAATCAAAATTTTCGCGAAATCAAGCTCTTCGTCAACTAAGTACAGCTTCTCCCCGACTTACGACGGGGCTAGGGACCCAAATCCAGGTCGTAAGTCGAAATGGTCGTAAGTTGAAAATGCTTAAATAATACATAGAAAATCTAAAATGGGTGTCTCTTTTTCTTCTCAGCACCAACTCTTACTTTTAAGCTTGCCAGCCATTTTAAAGTGAATTACAAAACAAAAATTGTCAGTACACAGCGCAATCACTGACATTGGGATTCAAAAATACGTAATTTGACAAAATTTTGGTACTACTGAGGCGGTCGTATGTCCGGGTGACGGTAAGTCGAGTAGGTCGTAAGTCGGGGAGGAGCTGTATACACTGGAGCACCTTAGCTTTTGTCTTTATTCAAGACATCTTCAGAGGCAACTGAATTTACAGGGATGGAATGTCAGGTCACCCTTTCTTGGGTGGGGGATTAGTGGATCTCATGACCTGAAGATGTCTTGAATAAAGACAAAAGCTAAGTTATTTGGGGGGAGATCTGAACTGACCAGATGCAATGTCAAGTGGAGTTAGGGTGGTGGATTAGTGGTCTCTTATTACTGACCTTCTGATGGAATGTCAGGTCACTCTTTCTTGGGTGGGGGATTAGTGGGTCTCATGACCTGAAGATGTCTTGAATAAATACGAAAGCCAAAGTATTTTTAGGGAGATTGTGATAAGTATAAATACAAATGAGCAAATTTGTATTCCTTCAACATTATGTTACATAACTTTTAAAATATGGAGTGAAAAAGCAGAAAGGTGAGGATGATAGAGAGATGCATGTTGTTTTAATTCCTATGTGTGTGTGTGTGTGTGTGTGTGTGTGTGTGTGTGTGTGTCAGCAACACACCTCAACATAAGAACATAAGAAAATGAGGAGTCTGCAATAGGCTGGTTGGTCTGTGCATGGCAGCTCCTGTCGGGAGTTACTACCACTCTTTATCGTCCATGAATCTATCTAGCCTCCTTTTAAAACTTTGCAGCATCCCAGCACTTACTACAAAGTTCCACTCGTCTACCACCCTATCTGTGAACCAGTTTCTTCCTATCTCCCTCCTAAACCTAAACTTATCCAACTTAAATCCGTTGCTACGAGTTTTATCCTGCTCGAATATTATAAGAACTTTATCTATATCTCCTTTATTGATTCCTTTCATTCACTTAAATACTTCTATCATATCTCCCCGCACTCTTTGTCTTTCTAGGGAGTGCAAGATTAGTTTCTTTAATCTATCTTGATAGGGAAGGTTTCTAAGTCCCGGAATCATTTTCTTCATTCTTCGCTGCACCGCCTCCAGTGAATTGATATCCATTCTATAATAAGGGCACCAGAACTGAACAGCATAATCGAGGTGCGGCCTGACTAGCTCAAGATATAATTGCAATATGACCTCCCCACTCTTATTACTTACACTTCTAGATATAAAACCTAATACTCTGTTTGCCTTATTACGAACATTAACGCACTGTTTTCTAGGCCAAAGGTCTAGGCTTACGAGTACCCCTAGGTCTCTTTCACAGGTCGACTTCTCTATTTCGATGTTGTTAAGGCTGTATACATTAACAGTATTTGTTCTTCCAATATTAAGTATGCTGCACATGCTGGTGTTGAATTTCATTTGCCATTTTTCTGACCACTTCAGCAGTTTATTTAAATCCTCCTGTAGTGCATTTGCATCCTGCCCTGAATTAATCTGCCGCCCTATTTTGGTGTCAACCGCAAACTTGCTTATGTCACTGCTGATCCCAGTATCTAGATCATTTATGTAGATTATGAACAATAGTGGGCCCAGTACCGACCCCTGGGGAACCCCACTAGTTACACAGCCCCATTCAGATTTAAAACCATCTACGCTGACCCTCTGTGTTCTATCGGTGAGCCATGATTTTATCCAATTTAAAACTTTCCCCTCGATACCATGAGCCTTAACTTTTCTCAGAAGCCTCTGATGCGGTACTCTGTCAAATGCTTTGCTACAGTCTAAGTAAATAACATCGTAATTTTCGTGAGGAGTGGGAAGGGGACGGGGGGAGCAGTGTGGGGGATCTTGGCTTGCTGTCTCTGTCCCATGCATAGTGACAAGATTACTAAATGGCAACATAGTATTTTTTTTATTTAATATTAATATTTTTATTTATTCCTCACATTTACTGGTGCAGTATATATTATTTTATGTAGAGTTGGCGTCACTCCTGCATTTACCACTTAGCATTGCTAATCCTCTCTCTCCTAGAGGTGAGAATAAGAAGCATTGGCTAGTGAGTGGGAGGAAGAGGGGACGGGTGTGTCTGAGTAGCTAGGTGGCTTTCTGTAGGGAGGGCCTGGTAATGGGGGGGGGTGAGAAGGGAAAGATTAGAATGCAGAATAATGGTTTGAAAATACTGTACAGTACTGACAGGGTTTCCTCAGCTGAGTGTAATCATCTAATGCTGGCCAGATGAAAATAATAAAATTACAATAGGATGGGAAGGGGGTAAAATCATGATAAAGAAATGTTGGAAGGGGTGAGTGAAGATAAACACCCATCATGACAAACAAATAAAGACAATGGCGATGCATTGTTGTTGGAACAAAAAATGTTATTTTGAACTTTTCATTAGCAAGTGGACCTCCTGCAAGTGTTTTAGTCATGTTAATAGATGATAATGATAATAAATTGGGGTAAATAACCCCAAAAAGTAAAGCGAGGCAAGTACACACAGACATCGGCTATTTAAAACAGAGGCCACCATGATGTTACCAATAGGAAAACAATGAGGCCTGTCAAACCCGCCTGGTTAAAAAACAACCAGTTTTCAGGTATATCCAGTTTCCTGGAAGCTGGATAAATGGTCTGGTACCTGTAATCCATAAAGCTGAACCAACCCACAGTTGACATGAGCAATAACAGTGTCATACCTTCTTCACTACTGGAACGTCGCTTCCATCCTCGAGGTTGATATTTTAACTGCACTTTCCGATTGATTCCTGAGAAGTGCCCATACCTGCCAGAGAAGGAATTTTTTTTTATATATCTAGTCATAAAAATATACGCATCAGGCATAACTCATAAATTCAGTACAGACTAAATCAAAGAATTAAGATATAAACATTTCATGATACAGAAATCAATCTTCAGCATAAATAAATTCATAATTTAAGGTTTTCATTGTGTGATTGATAGAAAGTGCACATGTGTGATTTGAGATTGTCATTGGGACTCTTACCACTTGTATTTAAAAAGTCTCTCTCTCTCTCTCTCTCTCTCTCTCTCTCTCTCTCTCTCTCTCTCTCTCTCTCTCTCTCTCACACACACACACACACACACAGAACAAAAATACAAATACAAACCAAAAAAAGTCATATATTTACACAAAACTACAAACATGTGCTGTATAAGAAAAAATATATGAGAGAAAGAGAAAAAAATTGCAAGGTGGCAATCCCCGTGGGAAGGTTAATTTAGCTGGGGGTGCTAAATTGGCTGGTGGCCAACTCAGCACAGGACTACATCCATATCTTATAGGATGGAAAGGTAGAGTACCTCCAACTGAGCTATGGAACCTTCACTGAGTCATGGCAAAGACACTAAAATATGACATATTTACACATCATCAGTTAATCATGGCTAACCAACACAAGTGTGGAAAATGGCCATAAAACATTCGATGACGATGCAAATGACTAAAATAATCAAATGAGTCTCTCTCACTCTACTACAGTACTAGAATTCTGGCACCCTTTAACATAAATGAACAAAATGACAAAAAGAAAGACCAGTACAGTACTTTCTCAGTCCTCTCATCCTCTTGCCAATACTTTATACCCAACCCCCCAGAAAAAAGATGCACTGTATAGGAAATCAGTGCAATTGAAGTTCATGTTTATACAAATTTACAATTACAGTACGTACATCTGTACCATCCATATGAACAATATTATCTAAAACTGAATGCAAACCTGCAAACCAATACTATATACTATATGTATAATATTTTCCTCTTGTAATATACTTGATTGCTCCAAGCAGAATATGGCTTCACAGTGTATATAGTATCATGTCTTTGACAATTTCCCATCACCTTCTGCTTGACAATATTCAATCATAATCATTATGACAACTTCCCCTATCAATGTTTAACCCTTTAGATGCACTGTTCAACTGTAGTCAAACAACAACAGCTACAAATGTTAATAAATGCAGTGCTTGACTTTTGTCCACTTCTTTCAAAACACACGGCACTTCACCCCCTCTCCTGCCTTGCAGACAACAGCATTGGTAGCTGTTGCTGCATGGTGGTGACTCAGCAGACCACTGAGTAATAAGACTGAGAAAAACACTCTGTTTTACTTACTGTAAGGGTGGCAGAACCCATCATCAATTAAGTTTTTAAATAAATTTGAAAGGGTCGAGTTAATGTACATGGCTTAAGCATATACTGTACACCTGCCATTGATCCTGACACACATCATATGCCAATTAGAATGTTACCACTTGTACAGTGAATAAACAAGATGGCACCTCAGCTACAGAACACAATTCACCTCACAAAAAGAAAGTAATGTTATATCAAGAAGTCTCATGAAAGTATTAAGCAACGTATGAAAAAAAAATGTAAGTAATTACTGACTCATAAGGGGCCCAGTAGAGTGTAGGCAACAATGATACTGTAGTAGGTCTAAGGCAAAGAAAATGTGAGAAAGGAAGTCTGTGACCAAACTGATATGCGAGGGGTTTGAGTGAAGCAAACCAACTCTTGGGTTCACTATACAGTATCAGGGTTGGAGTTTGCTTATTAGACCTAGGTTTGGTTTAAGTGTATATGCATCTGTTTATGCATTATTGCACTGATCTGACAAGAGAATATCCCTTTATCCAGAATGTAGAGTCCCCTGAGCATGGCCAGAGAGTATTCTGGGGGAATAATCTTGAATGATACCTGTTGATTAATGTGTAGGCCATGAAAAGGATTCTGACAAGTTCTGAAAGAAAGAATAATCACCTGGCAAAAACCAAAACATTAACAGAACAATATATATAAAATAGTAAAATGACACAAGCGATAAATACAGTATGCCTGTACAGTACAGTACTGCACTTGATTCTGTGAACAGGCAACTGTGTAAAAGAGAGAAGCATCATAGAAAGTTGGATTGATTTCCTTTGAAGTCTGAAGGCATTCACTACTCTACCAAAATATTGTACTTACAAGACAAAATCTTTGTAATTTATTTTGAAACCACCAGAGACATATTTCAACATCATATTTTTTTCATAAATGATGGACTACAACATGAGGGAGTAGACACCATGTAGTTTCCAGTTGGATACATTATTATCAATGTAGTATAATCAGAAACTATTCTCTTAATATATTTTACATCTATTTTTTCTATCTTAAGTAAATGGCAAAACTATGAGTAAACATATTATATACAATATATAAAATCTGACATCAATCAAACTATAATACGAAATACATACAGAAAGCTTGGTGCATATCATGCATAGTTTTTGCTCTCAACATACTGTAATGGCATTCATGCTACAGAGTTAACTGAAATACTGTATATATGTGAAATCCCAAATAATGTATTTCTATACAAAAATAAACTCATATTATAATGAAAACATTCTATACTTTTTATTTGTTATCATTGGTGCTACTGTCAAAGCCCTTTCATATGCCAATTTTCATCATTTCTACTGTATATCAATCATCAGAAGCATGTACAGTCTCGTTCAAGATTCTTCGAACACTGCTGGAGACAGCTGGCAACTCAAGGCCGTTTGTTTACCATAGTACGAAGTATAATATAATACGAAACAACAAAGCCCAACCCGTAAATTAAGCAACAGGAAACTAAGTAACCAATCACCGACCACTTTTGCATTTATTCATGATTTTTACAATGTACTAATGAAAACAAACGGCCATGAGTTGCCAGCTGTCTCCAGCAGTGATGGAAGAATCTTAACCAAAACTGTACAAGTACTTGGCATATATCTGTGCTGAACTGCACATAGTAGCTGTTGTGTTTAAAGGAATTGGAGCCAACATTCCATTATGACAGAATTATCTACAGTAATGAAAGGAGTGAAACTCTCTTCACATATTCCATTATTCTGGATTTTTACTGAGCAAAGAACTAATGTATAGCATAACTAAGAAAAACATACATAAAAAAATCATCTGAATACTAAGCACAAATACAGGATTCATGCATCACCAAGCAGTATTAAAATAAATTAATGCATACCTGTAGGACTTGTAAAGTACAGTGATACAGTATCTCCGTTAGCCGGAACAATTGGTGCAGAGCACTTACAGGAATGAGAGATTTCCGGGGCAACGAGACGACTCTCTCAAAGCCGGGAAAAAAATCCCTCATCCCTGGAATTTTCCGGGTAACAGAAATTGTTCTCAGAAGTTCCAGAAATTGCCCATTACATCATCTCTTGAACCCACAAAAACGTCCACCATCCCCAGAATTTTCCAAGAAAATTTCAATTCCGGCTATAGGAGAGTTCCAGGTTTGAGGGATTCTGGCTAACGGAGATATTACTTCTACAAGTGATATCTCCGTTAGTCAGAACAATTGGTGCAGAGCACTTCCGGGAATGAGAAATTTCAAGGAAATGAGATGACTCTTTCAAACCCTGAAAAAATCCCCCTCCTCGGAATTCTTCCTGGTACTGTACTGGGAAAAGTTTGTAGGAATTTTCCGGAAATTGTACCTTATTTCATCCCCAGAATTTGTTCCCAGCCATGGGAAAAAAATTGGAGAGAGAGCTTCTGGAATTTTCTCTGAATTTTCCAAAATTACATACTGTATTATTTCATACTCGGAATTTGTTTACAGACCTGGAAAAAAGTTTTAGGAGAGTTTCCAGAAATTTGCTTAAATTTTTTATAAAATGCGCCTGATTTTCAACCTCGTTAAATCATTCCCAACCCGGAACTGAGAGAAATTTTACGGAAAAATTCCGTGCAAATTTCAACTCCGGCTCTTGAAGAGTTCTGTATTACTCATCACATTCTTATTTACAAATTACTGATCCACTGAAACTGTTTCTATGGTACAGGGTATTGTACAGTACTACATTCCATGACACTAATAAATTGTCCTTATATATTAAAGAAGATAGCCACAGTACAAAAGGAGAGTCCATAATCTAGATGGAACTCAACCATACATAAGACTAGACCATCTGAATTCTTTTAACTGGTGAGCCAACAAGCCTTCATAAGGCACTGTAGATGGCTTCCTCCATTAATTGAATCTAGTGCCCAAATGATTGTGCTCTATATATCTTCAAATAGTGTGAACATTTTCACCTATCCAACTACAGTATTTATCAGGGCTAGTAAAACAGTCACTCCCAAATTGTCAATGAACGGAAAACTATCCAAAAGAAAACATGTTTCCTTAACTATCAACAGAAAATTTAAATAATAAATCTACTTGAATGAGGTGTGATATGATATAAAACACATGGTATAGGGACTAGTAGTGCAAGATATAAACAAACAAAGAGAAATTGACAACATTCAAAACGAATACGTACATCTGACCGGACTAAAAGTCATGACAGTAGGATGATTACTAAAGCTCCTAAACTTAACCTGTAAGATAAAGCTTTATTTAGATCGTTTATGGCCAAGAGATCTGAAGGTATTCCTAGGGCTGGTCCTATGGTAATACAAAAGGCTAGACATTTCTGTAAACAACAAATGGGAATAACTGAAACGTGGAACTCTTCTAATGGTTGGTTAACAAGATTTAAGCACGGGCATGGTATCCCAAAACCTTGGTTAACAAGTGAGGCTAAGTCTGCTGATGTTGAGGCAGCTGAGTAATAAGTTCATATATTTAATGTTCTAGTCAGAAAGCGTGATTTATCCCCCGAGCAGATGATGACAGATCACCTTGGCTGGAGGTGATGTGAGTAGTGTTCTTAGTTTCAAAGTCAGTAAAGATGGATTAACAATGCTTACAGTAC